ATGTTTGTGGATGAAAGAGGCACCCAGAATATTTTTATAAACACGTTTCCATAAAAGGAAAGAGCTCCCCAATATTCATGACATGATAATAGTTCTATAACAAACTGTCCCAAATATAGCCTGGTTTTGTTTCCCACAAAAACTCTTGTGACTTCTATCTCTAGGTTTTTTTTCACAAAGGCGCAGTTCGTTCATGTTATTTTGGCTGAGACCCGGACATTCATTTTCCTGGTGTGCAATTTTTGTCTTTTTGTGGGTTTTTTTGTTTTGTTTTGTTTTGTTTTGTTTTTTGCTTCCTCGGAGCAGCGTGTTTCTCATGATCAAATTGTGATCTTTTTATTCAAATTATAACCTGGGGTTGTCGTTTTGTTTGGTTTTGTCGGGGTGGGTTGTTTTGGGTTTTTTTGGCTTTGTTTTGTGTTTTGTTGTTGTTGTTGTTGTTGTTGTTGTGTTTTGTTGTTTTTTAATTTGGCTTTTTTTTTCTCCCTTCATATCATTCAACTGGTTGATGTATTCGTTTTGTATCGATTCTTTTCTAGTATATCTTTTCAAAGAGAAAGCTAGGAATACAAGAAAATATCATGCCGAATATTCAAGTGGGAGGAGCTCATGTTTCAGCCCACGATGAATTGAAAAAGAACAGGTTGTAAACTAGCTATGTTAAGAGCGAAACTCTATTGACAGCTGCTGTCTCTAGCCACAAAAGTAGCAACTACTACCTCTTTTGGCCATGTGTTTGCAAATGTTTTACTTTAAATTCTTCTTTCTCTTTCTGACTCTCTCTACTGCTACTCCTTGGTTTCTTCTTACTGCTCTCTTTCAGCTACATCCCTGATTAAATTAGGGTACGTAAGATCTGACACCAAGCCTTCTCGGATAAGAGCGAAAAAATCTCGGAGGTCCGACGTCCAATTGCGCATGTTAAAGATCCTAAAATCGATAAGAGTGGGCTTCGGCGCCACCTGGGTAACATTCAAAATTAATTCTTACCAAACTGGAAATGTTAAATGTGTTCAGTGCGCTCAAATGATCTGATGCCGTTACGAGCACCGTAAAAGACTTACAAAACAAAAAGTATTCGTTTATGCTGAGATGCATGACGTTGCAGAAATTCAAGAGCTGACCCTTTCATCTCCGTTGCATCGAAAGGGTGCGACTTCTTAGCGTAAAGAGCTACTGGACAGTCATCGGTATAGCGCAATGTAAGGACCTGTGGCATGCTCGCTAAAAACTTGAGTTCAGTTCCCAAGTGAGAACGATACATCTGATCAAGTATGTCTGTCTGTCTGTGGTTGAGAAGAAGTACCCTGTCTAGCCCAGATTGAAGCGGAAGGGCGAGATCAAAGCAGCCCGCCTCTCTAATGATCCAACGTCAGTTGACGGAGGAGGAACAATTTTGCATCAGTATTGAGAGGAGGGGGTCGGGGTGGGGTTTGGGGG